AAACACAGTGCCTACAAATAATCATAGGAATCAGCGACTACCTTGTTAACAAGGGCAGACTTATTCCCAACTTTCTTCCCTGTTTTGGTCAAGGAAACTAAAGAAAAATTGTAAAGACAGGAAAACATACTTTTCTTATCACGTTTTGAAACCGGCATGGATTTGCAGCTATACAAACGAAACAAAGTTTTATTATATCAAAAATTAGGTGGAATCGAAAACGAAAAAAAACGCTCAAGAAATCCAATGAACCTTCTCACTTATCAAAAGCATGGCGTTAGACACAAAGCACACACTCAACCACCTGCAAAACCTAAATTCAAGTAAGGTAGGCAATTCATGACTTGTATAAACAATCGAGGGCGAGACTATTTGAGTGACGTTTTGATTACTGAGTTTGCAATAACATCGAATGACCACAGGCGATGTATGAAAGTGCATGCTGTCGGGTGTCTGTAAAGAATTTCCGTATTTTATGTGCTTAATGGTTTGTGAGTGAGGTATAAGCCAAAAGCGACGATAAAACACCCGGTCAAACTATATAAGTCCACCACACAATAGGGTTTAAGCGGCAGATTCGCCTTAATCTAGATATCTCCCATCGTTTTCACAAGAGCGGCAAAATAGTCCAGAAATTAAACCAATCTGTGGAAACTAAAAGTTTTCAGCTCGAAGGATTCTCATCAGATGCTGCAGTGTTCTAAGACCGCAATAAGTAGACGAAGCCTTTAAATTGGGCTGAATACACGTATTCTAGAAGGTAAGAAGTACTTGGGCTTTGATTTGACTTAAATTCATTCCATAACTTCGGGGACAAGACGTAAACCGAAGTTAACGCTAGGCATCGGGATGTCGCCAAATCGAAGTATTTGAGATGTCATTTAGAGTAATGCGCAAATCCGCCTGTTATTCCTTGCTCATATGACCACATGATATTTGGCGATTACTTTAGAATTTTTGTGGTCCTTGTAAACGTGTGCTGGCTTTCGGACCATGCCCAGGCCCAGTTGCATTTATTTACTTATCATACTGGCTAGAAAGTCTCGGGACGCTACAATGCCAACTCTCGAGATTGAAGTGTCTCATCGGTTTAGAAGATAACTGAGGTTAGATAAACGCAGCCTCTATTATTGCAATAAAAGCACAATAAATAAAAACATTCAGACCCCTACCGCCTTATTGCCGCTGTGATAGTCCCGCTGCCTACTATGCACCTGCTATTCGCCTATCCAAATTTACACAGAATACCAGAAAAGCTGGCTTTGACCCTGGACCTTGTCGGTCCAGCAAGGGGAACACAAACGGCCAGGCGCCAACCTTGGCGAGCATTCGCATATTGCACACCGTACTCGTCCACTTACTTAGATTTGTTTGGCGAATTGGGAATAACTGATCTGTGCCAATAGGAGAGAATGAGAAGTGGCTCACAAGATGAGCAAGGAGTTTGCCGAGGCACACCAAGGCATAATCTGTTCGCATCACTAAATCAGCATCTTGCAAGATGTCACCAAGAGCTTCTATTTAACGGAGCCAACATGTTATATACATAGTAATATTCGTATAAACCTACGAATACGTATGAAGGTTGTCAAGCACGGCTGCTTGATAGCATATTATGCCAATAGTGGCTGCAGCAAGAGGAGCACAAACAAATAAACGACTTGAGTTAAGGTACAAAACGACACCAAAGAAGACCAGGATTACGATGAGTTTCGAAAATTCAGCTAAAAGCTTCGTAGATTGTTTGGAGTTCCATCTGTTACCTGACCGTCGTCGATTAGGACTGCGTGAGGCGGCAGGTACGCATACGCCTTCCTTTAACCGATATCCCTCTTCGCACGCACAAAGATAGGATCCTGGTTTATTTATGCAACGCTGCTTGAATCCTGGGCACGCGTCCGGCGAATAACATTCATCAATGTCAATACATTTCGCATCTCGCAATGCGTAACCAGATGAGCATGAAAGGCAAGTAGAAGAATTGATGCAGGTGATACATCCGTCTGGACATTTAACACACGAAAACGAACCTTCCGAATTGACACAAAATGTTCCAACTTGGCAATGGGAACTACCGTCGATACACTCATCGATATCTTCACAAATTGTTTCGCCATCTTTTTCGATACCAACGAAGCCCTTAGCACAGGAAACACAGGAAGAAGAGGTCGTATCTGAACAACCACCAGCGCAAGAAGGGTGACACGAGATGCAAGCCATGCTTCCATTTTCAAACAAGGATTGAAAATGAGTCAGATTGTCACATTTTTCACATGACTTGCCGCTGAATCCAACGCGACAGAGACATCTTCCAGTGCCGTTTCGAGTGCCATTCCCATCACAGTACCCGTTACCGAACGTGCACGAGTCGCAGTCAAGACACTCCCTACCGAACTTATTCCACGGACAACAGAGACGCAGTCGCTCAATGCAGAAATCATCAACAATGCTATCCAGATTGGACAGACCCGTCTTTAAGTAGCCAGTCCAAAAGTTTTCAATTTCGCCTTCAATCTCGGAGAGAAATTGAGCCTCCCGATCATTTAGAGACTTCAAAGTCTGCTCTAAAGTCTCAAAAGCATGAAGTTCGCTAAAAGCGTATTTTCCAATAAATTTTTCCTCCCAATCTGTATTTCCACCCCCGAGACTTATATCTGAATTAATTTCATGAAAGGCAGAACGATATTTCTCAAGTACAGTACGACATAAATCACAGTTTTTGGCGGAAGCTGTTAGACCGAAGAAAAAGACGCATGGAAGCAAGCATACGATCATCGCGACAACTTTTGACTTCTTCGGCTAAATTAGAACAGCCTAGAGCACCCATTGGACAGCTGGAAAGCATGACCTAAAAACCGCATACCAATCAAAACGATGGACTCCCACAACACGCCAGCGCATCTTCCCAGCTGGCTGAATCCTCCAAGTGCAGACCACCAGCAACCTCTCCCACCAGGGTCACTTACTCGCAGTGCAATCCTATATCACTGAACCTTAAAACAACAGAAACAGACGCTCCAACCGCGGTCTAACTGCAAGGATTAAGGCAACCCCTCAGACTCGCAACATCAAGGCGTCGACACAAGAGGCAATCAGCAAAGGAAAAAGCACAAAAAACCATGTTTTTACAAAAAGTAAGTCACCAACAACCACAAAGTCGGGACCACTCGCACAACGGTTGCAGAGAAAAATGCTGCCGCCTCACGCCGATTTATTTGGACTGAATTCCCGAGAACTGCCCTCTATTTTCATTTTTTTAGTATCTTCACAAAAACTCGCATCACTATTAGGTCTCTTCCTCTTAATAAGGTGCGTGATGTCATCAACATGCACATCACTTCGTATGGACTTTGCTGGAGGTTCTTCGACCTTCAGTACAGTGTCGGAACATTCCTTCCGCCGTTCAGATACTTCAGAAATGAGGCCAACGATTTCATCAATTTGCACCTGGAGGTGGGTGACCTCACTTTTATTTCCATCATTTTCGCCATTCATTTCACTCAATTGGAGCTCCAACTTGGACCTATAGTCCTTCAGGCGTTTTAATGCGTGACAAAATGAAGCGTCCGCGGAAGACGCATTCCCCGTCTGAGAATAGGAGATGGCTAGTTGAAAGTGAGTTTCTGCGATGAGACGATCGTTATCAGGAGCATGTTCAAGCCGAAGTTTCAAGCATTCCTAACAACGGTATAGTGAGATACAAGCCAAAAAATACCAGCAAATCCGATATTGCTTGTTGGTAGTTTCCAATTTCTTGTCCTATTTCGGCGAGCTTTTCTAGACAATCAGAGGCTTTCAGTTGATGATCGGCATCCTGATGCCTCATGAATAACTTTTTAGCCACTTCGACAACCTCCCAAGCCAGCTGCAGAGTTGATATGTCTTCGTCTCCTAAATCTTCCTACTAGAAA